ATCTGGATTGAGAAAGACATTGAGAAGGATCGTTTTCAGAGACACTGCTTCCATTTTAATGTTTAGTGAGGCCTGAATCTGCAGTAGATGGGTATAAAAAACAATGAGAAAGTGTCTCTCATGTTTCCAGCCTTGTGCAGTCTTTTTTGCTTGGTTGTTTTTTTTCATTTTTTAATCAAGTTAGGGCAAGTGAAACTCATCTCAATTTTGTGTTTCTTTTTATAAAAAACAAGACTAAAACAGGCAATAAACAAATACTGAAGGGAGGGAGGGCTTTATCCTACCCCACAACTATCCCTCAACTGCTGTTCTTCTGCGGTCATGGTCATGGCTCTCCCACACAGCATCATTTCCCTCTCTGATTTTCAGACCTCACGTACTAGCTTAGGTAGCTACAGTCGAGATCCGGTGCTACCCAGAGAGTGTCAAAACATGAGAGATGGCTAAGGAGGAGTCCTGCAGGTCCCTCTCTGCCACGTGACTGGAGATGGGCTCTTGCTATGACTCAGGCAAGGTAGGGAGAAGGAAGGCTCATACCCCTTATTCCCATGGATACCACCTTGACCCACAAGGTTTAGGTTGGTGGTGCTGTGACTGAAGTTTTCCCCTTTGGAGCACTGCAGTATCACCTCTACCCTGTAGACCAAGTGGCCAGTAGCTGGCATGAGCAAGAGTTTGCCTCACCCACAACCAAACCAGAAATACAAGAAGATTAGCTGCCAGGGTGATTTAAGACTCCCAAAGCAGAACAGAAGCAGATAAGGAAAGCAAAGCAAACTGTCCTTGGAAAGATAAAGAAACTTTGCAGCTGACATAGGAAAAGCAACTACTAAGGTAAGCAGGGGTGTTACCAGTCTCAAGCTAGAAGCTGGAAATATTTTGAAAGGCAACAGAAATTAAGAACCCATGCAAGCCTCGAGCTTAAACACACTTTGACCTCAAAGGAACTGAATCTGCTTTTCTGGTTCCCAGGACATATGGCCCTGGTAACAGATGATATATATCACTTCCTAGTTCAGCATAGATACAGAGGTATCCAGTAAGGCTTGTCTGGTACAGGACAGAGGGTCTTTGCCTCATCTGCTGACTGTTCAGCTGCCGCCTACCCTGATTTACCACTTTGGAAACACTCCCATCCCAAGCCCCCACATGCTAGAGCCAGCTGGACTACTCCACGATTCCAGACCAACTTTAGCTGTCACACAGGCCCTGGACCAGGATGGGAGGTTACATTCAACATTTTGTCCCAGATGAGCGTCTTCATTCTTCCCTGGATGTCTCAGTCACCTTGTACCACAGGATCTTCTCCTGCCACAACATCCAGCACAGCCAATACATCGCATAAGCACTGCCAGTGTCATACACCCCAAAACAGTGTCCCAGGTCTCTAGTCTCAAAATAACACTCTATCTCTCCCGTACATCAAAACCACATCAGTCTAGGAGAAATCATGACATCTTGGACACATTAAATTTTCAGCTGAAGCAGTGCTACCCTGGTGATTTGGTTCACTCCAGGCGGCAGTCTGGGGACAAATGAAACAGTTTCTCTTGTGTCCTCCAACATGAAGAACTTCCACAAATTTCTGGGTGGTGTTTGGAGAAGAGGACCCAAACCTGTCTCCTGTTTCTCTGTCCCGCCTGGTGGGTGCCAGCCCAGAACTATCAGAACTCCTGCTTGGGTAGCACTGCAAGGGAGAAGCACACAGAAGCTAAAGCAGGCTGGAAAGTTATTACACAATCTCCTTAAGAGCTCGTTAATTACAACTGCTAATTCTTGCTGATAGCACCACTACTCATTACAGGGACCCAGCAGATCAAAAAAGCAGATCTGGGAAGAGAGTTTCTGAGTTACAGACTTCAGTGCCGGCAACCACTGACATCTCCATCCAACATCCAGATCACACAGCCCTGACAAGGCCACACGCCCGCCACCCTAATATTCTGGGGCATCAGCCCCCAGCCACTGCCAATGACTGTACATACATGGATGCTCATCCACACACAGCTAATTCAAAAAGAAAGTGATCGCAGCGCCTGTAACTGTGAACTTGAATGGTTGTGCAAAGAAAGATAGTGGCTATGTCAGACTTGTTGCATGAAGTGCAGGCCAAGAAGCTAATCACTTCTATGTGTCTAATTATCTTTTTTTTTTTTCCTTGTCATTTTTCATATTCCACCATATTTTCAAATGTAATTGAAATTGGGGCCTCCCCTGCCTTTACTAGACAGGTAGACTAAATGCCAGTGCGAATGGATTTTGAAATCTATATTTTAAGCACTGCAATAGTATAACTAGTCAAGCTACACAATTACTTACAACTGCTCACTCAGTGGAACACTGCAAACAAAAAGATACTACAAACTCTTTCAATTCTCTCTTTAGAAAGGTATTAAACCTTGTTTAGACCAATCTTGTGCTTGTTCTTGGTATCTCCAGAAAAGAGATAGTAAAATAACTGTATCAGAAAACCAAGACCATCAGAACACTTTCTAATTATGGATAGATCGGGCACTATAGTCATTTTGGGGTGTAGAGAAGGAGTTGGATTCATTTGGGTTTTGCTTTATATCTTAAAGATGTATTATTACTGCAGGAAAAGAATGACTGAAATTACTGAAATAATCACATTCCTCCTTTTATTTTTAAATGTGTTTCAAGCTCATATCTAGATGTTGAACAAAATCAAATATAGATATCTTCCTAATTTTCCAGGCTACAGAACAATAAGTACTGCACAGTAGAAAACAAGATCTAATACAAGAGCTGGTAACTGGGATTTCATGCTGCTTATATATATTCACATAAAAAGATGGGCAATCACAAGGAAGCGTGACTCATTTGACACTGGAGATTTTCTTTTTAACTATGCATGAAAGGGATATTATTGCCATACCCTGCTCTAACAACAGTGAATCACAAGTAGTAAGGGAATTGCTGCATTTTAGAGTTTGTAGCAGTCACATTCAAAAAAAAAAAAAAAAAAGGCCTGGTTCTTCCCTCTGTAAAATCAGGTAGTACAAGCACAACATTGCCCCACACACACTGTGAGATTCAGCCACCAGATTCCTAATTATGACATGCTGGCCTGGACAGCTTGCAAATCACACTTTATTCACCAAAAGGCAACAGGGTAGCAAGATCTTCCCACTAGTGTCTGGTAGACAAGACGAAAGGAAAGCCCATGCTTGCCAGGCAGTCACTGGCACTCAGACACACCAGTCAACCTCTGTCAAGAAAGCACTTGAAGATCACGACCCACAGAAGGCCCTGATGAATCAAACATGCAACCCAGCGTACAAGAGATGCTACTGTTTCCTAAGCCCCAGTGTGCACCATAATATCAACAAGACCCCAAACTGTGTATTTTCTCATGTCTTTAGACAGTAATTGCAATGTATTCTCTCATCTTCCACTCCTCTGCACAGCTCACACATGGGGCTTGCTTCCTTTATCAAACCAGTTACAATTTACTTTGTAACAACAATTTGTTTGGACTTCCATCTATAAAAGCCCCCCAAAATGCCACATAGTACAGTAATTTCTATACTGATTAAGTACAAAGGTTCTGTAATGTTTGTAAAGCCATTTAAACTGCAATAGCAAAACTTTTTTGTCAAACTACATATTCCAACTCATCAGTCTTTATTATGCTATATACAAGCTCACTTCTTCCAAGAGTCACCCTCACTCACATAATCAAACTGTGCCATTTGAAATGCTGTGACATTATTCTGTCTCACAAAATGGTTGAAATTATCTTGACGATGGCAATGGAAGAATTGCTGCTACCCAGAATTTGTTATGAGAAGTTAAAGCTGAAAAGGAGTTAGACCTCTTGAAATTACAGATTTTAAACATCAGAGACACAAAGTGTTTAAAAGCCCTTAAATACCATGGGTCAACATAAAAGGAGGATCCAGGTTCTGAAACACCTGTCCTGGATCATTTCAATGGAAATATTAAAGAATGAAAATGTGCTATGGAATTACAGGTTTCAATTATATAGACTGACATAAACTCACTTTATGGTAATACAGTTTTAAATGTCAAGCTGTATAAACAAGATATCTGAAATTACTACCTAATATAATGACTTATTTAAGTACCTCCAAAAAATGATTATATGAAGACCAAAATAAGTTTGACAGGCTGAGGTATAACCAAAATCACTGTAGTCAGAGAAATTTTTCCAAAGCAAAAACCATTTCATGCTCACAAACGTATGCACTGAATAGAAAAGTAGAGCATAGTTTTTCAACAACAACAAAACAGCTCAAAAAACACTTGGAAAAAAAAAATCAATTCTGTCATTCCCTTTGCTTTTGCTGAGCACACCAATTTTCACATTTTGGTCAAAGATCCACTGCGTGCACACGGCTTCTCTATTTTATCTTTTTTTGAGAAAAGTGTTTGCAGAAAACATGCCTTCAAGAAACATCTGACAACTGTACATTCACATGATTAAATAAAAGTGAGGAAAACCCAGCAATAGATATATCACACACTCTACAACAGCAGCAATCACTTGTTTGCAAGCCCCTGACCAGAATCCTTCTCCTTGACAAAATAAATTAATGATAGACAGTTCTCAAGACATTACATCAACAGAAAAAGGCTCAGGTCTCCCTTGCATCAATAAAGCACATCATCTCACCTGTAGTGCACAACATCATCACAAAACCACTTTCAAATGAAACAATACCAACCTTCAAAGACATCTTCATATAATGAGCTGTCTTTGTTGACCATTTTGACTAGTTATAGTATTTATATCTGTCTAGTCCATAGTCTTTGAAGAAGGCTAATGAGATCTGAGAAGTGAAAGACAAGTCCGGACAGTATTTATGGAACTCTTTTTTCACTCCTGTTCAGTACAAAGATACACAGCATTGCAGAATCTTTCAGTATCAATTTCTCCCACCAAACCCACGCTGCAGACTTAATCTTAAAAACACACCCTCTCAAGGATAAACAAAGGAAACTCATATCTGTCAGACCTGAAAGATGTTTTCACCAACGCCTCAGGACTCTCCACTGGTGGTAGTTCATCTGCTAGGATTTCTTCAGGAGGTCTAGGGTCACTGATGATGGTCGGCTTTGACCTTTCCTTGAGGTTGTCAGTCAGCCCACCGATAATGGTGTTCCACAAGCAGTTCTGTGATTTTGATCCTGCAAAAACAGAAAGCGAGAAGCAAAATAAATCCATAGGCCTATCGTCCAGTCTCTCAGCAGTCTGAAAAACAAAGACGGTCTGTTATCTTTTTACCTTTGGGTAAATTTGGGATTAAGCCTGAAAACAGGAAATAAAGCTCAAAGTGGAAATAAGCACTAATGTTCAGGTCATTCTGAAACAAAGACTGTCATGCTTTCCATAAAAAGATTTGATTACAGATCAGGGAGTTTTCATGTGTTGATAAAAAACATCCTCTCCTCATTACACTTAGATTATAGTTTAGCATGTACTGATGTGGCAGTATTTTAAGCCAAATAACTAACCAAAAAAACAAAGCACCAAATCAATATAATATTAATCAGTGCTTTTCTTGGACTAAAGTTAATGGTGGTTAAATTATAGATTAAAGATACTGCCGAAGGACTAGTATCAGGGAGCGTATTTCTTTTCTCTTGAAACTTCAACTTTTCTCAGTAGACATTCAAATGCCAAAATACTTCTATGGATGATCTTTTTCCATTTATTTAGAAGCATCACCAGGTGCCTCTTGCTTGTCATTCAGAGAACCCATCCTCGTTCGTAAGCCTACTTACACTGACAAAATACAATTAACATCCTTCAGTCATATCTCCCCATCTTTGGAGAATACATGACTTACATTTCATAAAATTTAAGTATCTGTTTCATATTTTCAGAAACTCCCAAATGGCTTCTGAATAAATTAGGCACTTCTGAAAATCCCAGCAATACTCCCATACTGAACACCTGTGTCACATTCTAACTTTCAAGTATTATAGGATATACATGGGTGAGATTCCAAGAAGAGCTGTTAAGTACTGAAATACTGCTTAGTTCAGTTAAAAGACTTCCCACAACAGAGGTGCAGGAAGCATTAATCTTACTGGATTCCAAAGTAATAAGATATAACAACTTTGCTGGTAGTCATTCTCCATGAGCTTTTTATCAATACGCAAAATGAAAAAAAAATTCTGATAAATGGGATACTTCTGAAGTCAGCAACTGATTTTTATAAGAGACCATACAGGTAAAATTTTCCTGGCATTCAGACTTAATTGTTCAGCAGAGACAATTAATCAGCAAACAGTGGACCTAAAACATACGGAGTAAGGTTGACTTTTTGCTGCAGTACACACTAAGTACATAAGAGGAAACCAAGTAAAAGAGCTGCTATCTCATGCCTCCTAAGAATGTATCATGAGAAACTACCCTGTTAAAAGCAGCAATATCTGCTGCTATGGACAGGTGATGGCAGACTTATTTTGCTGGTTTTCTTAAATGTCATGTTTTCACACAGACAAAATGGTACAAAGACAGAAGAGCAGCAAGAATCCTCATTTACCTTCTCCATTCCAAAATAATTTTCAGAGCATTTCCCAGCTAATCAGGGAAGCTCCATGCTCATAGGCTTCTCTGCTCTTAATTGCCTGCAGCTATTTAATGTGCAAGGACTGCGTTTACCCAGATTTAGAGGTAGCATTGACATCCTGTGCAGCGTTCTGTGCTACAGTAACTAGAAAAATTACTCCTCACACCAGGTAGTCCAAAGCCAAGTAATGTCTACACAACAGCTGCAGAAATAAATACATCAATACATCTTTACCATTCAAGGACTTGCAATGTTATGGCAATACCACTGTTTCTGTTCTTTAGACCACCACCCAAATTTCCCAGAATTTAAGTTTACTTGAATAGGTAAGCATTTGTTTTTCCATTCTGTAAGGGGAAGTATAAAGGATGTAAGAGTTTTAAACTATCTGACCATATAGGTCATCTGTCATAGAGCCGAAAATACTGTGATTCCCTATGACATGTTGAGAGGACCATTTCTTTTGCAAAAGAATGGCATACTCAGCACAGTTGGAACCAGAATTTTACCAGTCAACAAAGAAAAATAAGTTTCTATCCAGGCACACATCCAGCACACTAAGACAGGAGAGCAGGACTCTGATACTTCTAAAAAAAGCTGCTGTGTCCTATTAAAATAATATTTTGTGGAAAAGAGGCTCTCTGAAGCCACTTTTATAATTTTGAGACTTTTCCCTGCAATTACTCCAAGGAATCTGCTGACTTTCTCAAACCATCACCTTCTCCCTATTTCCTCAGCCCTACCCTTTCTTTTATTCCACAAGGTCTCCAGCTTGTCAGGCGCAGGACAACTCCACAGTTCAGGAAAAAGACGTATTAAGCCTCTTTTTGCACTTACTAGATGCAAGCAGCTTGTTGTTTGCGCTACCACTGAAAGCCAACAGTAACAGGCTAACTAATTGCCACTGAAAAACATATAATTGCTCAGATCAAACCTTTCTTTTTCTGTAAACAAAAACAGTGCAAAAAAACCCCGAGTACTTGTTTCAGTATATATAGGGGGTTTTCCCCATTTTCTCTGCAAGTATTTGGCTCTTCTGAAGATCCACAGCAGCAAACCAGCCCACCGATGTGAATTAACCAACTTCACCAGAGCAATGAAATGCCCACCTGTCCCAATCAGTGTTCAGCCTGCCCACAGCTATGCTCAGGTGAAGGGCATTTGGCAAGTGATTGTTTCATTTAACGAGCCTGCCTGAACAGATACCAGCCAGGAGCTTCCAGCTGCCTGAAATGCTGAAAGCCTGATGAACTTAAATACCCACAGCCACAACTGTGCAAAGACACAGTGGTACTTGTAGCAAGATGACATAGTGAGATACCAGGCACATTAACCGCTGCTAAAGGGGGTAGCAACCTCTTAAATTTAAAGTCTCCTAAATGGATGGGAATTTGACATTTATGAGTACAGGAGATTGGCTAGCTCTAGCATTGGAATGAGTAAAAATTTTAATTTCAAATCCCTGTGAATAAATGTAAACGTTTTTAAAAATCCTTCTCCCTCATTTCACTGTACCCTGTCAAAGATGATTATAGCTGAGCTAGAAGCAAAAGCAAAATAGATTTAGGTGTAATAATTTAAAAATCAGAACTCTGCTTAAAGAATCTGTGGGTGGGCGTTCAAATACTTTAATATAGCCTGAAAATATTGTGATACTGCAAGTCTAGCTACCTGGATCACCGATAACCACACAAATATCATTCCCATTGCCTCACTTAACAACACCAGCAGCCTTTCCCTCATCTCTGTTCTAGAACTAAAGGGAAAAAAGCTACATGCTCCAGAGAGCTGTGGACAACAGGAGGATGAATAAGGCTCTTCTGGGTTTCTGTAGCTTATCTTGTGTTTGGTTGTGTGCACAGAAAGTTAGATCGGGTAAATAAAGTCAGCCAAAATGGGTGTGGTTTGTTAAGTGTTCAATGACAGCCCAACTGTGATCCCACTGAAATCTCTGAAGGTTTTTACAGTTGAACTCAAATGGGAGCTGTTACAGAGCAATGGAAATCCTGTTCTCTGTTGTGAAGTTAATAACTGCCTTTGAATTACTCATTCAAGTGAATGTGAAAGGCACCATCCAGGAAGATACCCAGTCTCTGGTTTGTGACTCAGACGCAAAGATAACAATGATAATTCTTTATGACTGTAGTTATTGCTTGAATCCTTGTCCTCAAATGCTGCAGCTTTTCCTGCCATTCAGTCAGGATGTTTTTGACCGTTTGATCTGCACTCCACTGTTTGCTCAGTGAAACATGGTATGGTAGAGTACTCTGCATGAATTTGGGCATCACCCATTTAGCTCCTGTTAGCACAGCACATGCCTCAGACATTTCCCTCCTTTCCATAACACACCCCCCATTCTCACAGAGTTGTCACCCATGACACCCTATGAGCTGGCTCATTAAGTCCTCAACCTGACTCCCAGATCACTGAATTTAACTCCTAAAAGTGAAGGTCTGCTTTACGCTTTGAATCATCTCCCTTCGTCCCTACATTGTGCCTCTGCGACTATTTCCCATCCAGGCTTATCTAAGTGTTCCTCTCCACATTGCATTCCTGTTACTGTCAAACAGCCTGCGGCCTTCATCTCACCTCCCCACTCTAACCCCATGCCACCCTGGGACATACAACAAGGTCTTGTAAGAACTACCCTGTGCTTCCATTCAGCTGACTGCCACCCGCCGGTCTGTTCTCTTCCACGCAATGCCAGGCACCCCTACCTCTGCAAACAAGGTTTGGCTGCCTAGATGAGAGCCAAGATCAAAGCAGGAACAGAACCTACCTGTTCCTGGGTCTCAGGCATGCACCCTGCATACATTCACCAAAAATCAAGTCCTTATGAATGTCAGAATCAGAACCGAAACGCCCGATCGGTTCCAAATGTTATGACATTATGCTTGACCTATGTGTCAGGCAGTACTGCACCATGAAGTCCTCATAACCCAAATATCCAGCCATAAACAGTACTTGGGCTGAATCTTCCAACTCCACACCTAATATTCAGGAACCATAACGGAGGAGAAGCAGAGCGATAAAGAACTTCAACATGTTTGCATTTACATTTCTCTCCTCTGCGATTTACTTTGCCATATCAGTTATCAGGGGTTGAACCAGCCAGGACTGATAAACAGAGCACCTTTTTAAGCTTTAATGTCTACAACATGAAGGAAAATAAACCCTAAATCAGGAATAAAGAATGTCAGTACAATTTTCTCTCAGTCCTGTTCAACCTGCTCCATCAACATGCAAGTCACAACACACAACAGATTTCATAGCCACAGACCTTCCTTCTACATTATGCACCTTAGCTACCTATGTGAGGTTTGGCATGCTGAGAGTGCCATCCTGTGACTGTGTGAAATACTGCACCACAGATGGAAATTATTTTGATGTTTTGATCTGCACTACCCATGCTGATGGCAAATGCCCCCTTTTAATAATGAGATGATTTTTCCCTGTTAAGGGATGACAAATCATCATGAAACTGCACGCATTATAAATAGGATGTCCTATCTTCCTTCTCATTCCTACGTATTCTATCACGTCAGTTTTAATAATTCATCTGATCAAAGTCATGGTCAGTTGGTGCTATATTATCAGATGCATCCCCTTGTTTTGTTCAAACTTGGGTCACTTATTTCAAATCCCAAGACATATCTTTAGTTCCTAACCTTGCTGTGTGAAGCAGAAGGTTATGGAGGAGCTATCAAGAAGGTTTAATTGCATTTTTCATATGCTACTTCTAAGGCTTGACCCAAACTTCTTTGTAGCCACTGTAGTCAACTGCAGCTGACTTTGTGGCTCTTGTATTGTTATAACCTTTTATGTTTGAAACGGCAGTAAGGGCACAAAAGCTTCCATCCTTTTAAATTTGCATCAACTCTGTTCAAGACTGAATTACTGTAAGTGACTTTTCCAACTAAGTACTATGGTTCCTCAGTTCAGTACTGTAAATGAACTGTAATAACAGGGCAGACTAGTAAGTTTTTTAATCTCATATTACAAGGTGTTTATTTCTACAGTAGATATAGAAATCAACCACTTAAAATAAAAAAGGCTACTTACGGGCAAATCGTGAAAGTGGTCGTGCATTTTTGTCACCTGTCTCATTTGCAACTGAAAGGAGAAAAGAGAGAGAAATAAAAAGCATTCAAATTTAATTGTTACATTAAGATTAATGATAGTAGCAATTCTCATGCATATACGGAAGACAAGACTGCTCACAGTAACAGCAGTTAGCTAAATACACACAGATATATAATACTTCTTATAATGCGACCAAATATATTACTTTGAATGTTTGTCTGTCTGTCTGGTTCAGTTTGGATTTCAGAGTCAGGAGGGCACACAACAGGCACCTGCAAACATTGTCTTATCCCACATAATAACTGAATCGTATAATTCCCCAACATACAGGCACTAGCTACTAATAGTACATAGCAATATATGATCGCAGTCATCCTTTCAAATTCTATTTTATATTGTACTTTTTTCCAAGCCCTAAATAAAATGTCATTTTTCCCATTTGTATTAATGAGTATGGTAAGAAAAAAGTAAGATTATTCCATCTATATAAAGAAATGCACTATCAATTTTGGAAGCCCAGAGGATTATTTAATAGCAAATTAAATGAAATTCAAGGATCTGTGCAAATGAATCCTCTGACATTTGGAACTGTGTATAGATATCACCTAGGATAAAAACAATCCCATATAAATCCTGCTTTTTTCTGCCTCTGATTCATACTGGCATAGCTCTCAACATGTCTGCGACCCAGCCGGTACGCAGTTAGTCAAGAGCACAAACGACTCTGGGGTTCTCATAATCTTAAACTACAACTGAAAAAAGAGGACCATTATCAAGGAGAGGAATTACCACCCATAACTTTTTATTTTGTGTAACTCGAATAATCACAAGAAACAGCATTGATGGCACATAGCGAGGAAGTGCACACATAAACCTTGCCAATTCTTTGCTTTCTTTAAGAAATGCAGTTTTATAGAGACAAGACCAACTAAGCTAAGACATCCCACAAAAGGATGAAAAATATGACCAGAACCGAGACTCACTGGTTCCTAGCAAGATAACGTCTAAACTATAATGGACTTTTTAATGCCAGAAAAGACTTTTGATGAAATTGAATACTCCTGACAAGTCTTCAGGTTGCCAGTTTAAGTTTGTCTTTATTTAAGCCCCATATCCAGTGTCACTCCAGCTTTCCCTACTCGCTCTCCAACCTTTACCTGTTGACGAAAGCGGCTCCAGCACCCACTGCAGCGAGTGGAGGGGCTCTGCATAAACCACTGCCTCCCTTTGCTCCCAGTAGCCGGCAGATGGTGCCGTTAAAACACTGGTGCTTCTCTACCTGCCTGGGACACCCACCAGGCCAGCCGGAGCCGGGGCCCTGAGGTCTCCCCCAAGTCCTTCAAGACAGCCATCCTTGGCTTGACTCCATCCCAGGTTACCTGCAGCACAAGCTCCAAGCAAATAAGCCTTCTGGGACATTGCGTGCAGAGACACCAGAGCGACTGCACCGAGTTAGGCAGGGCTGGAGCACTTCATAGTTTGAGAGACAAACCCGGCCCTGCTTGAGGTGATGGCATGGTGAAGGAGAGGCAGCAGCATCCTCGGTGGGGCAGGGATCAAAAGAGCTGGACCCAGTGAGATCAAAAACTGTGCTGGAAAACACTGCTGTAGCCAATACGTGAAGGCAAAGCGGCCAGGCTTTGTCGTTAACTTGGGGATGACAGCTTGCAGGGGGTAGGCTGAGAGGTGCCTGCCAGCCCGGTCCCTTCTGGGGCCCTAAGTATCCCTCTGTATCACAGCAGAGCCCAGGCACACTCATAACATGAACTGATGTTTAAGTTGGAACATCAAGTGAACTAATAGGTCAATGAGGAAAGAGCCCACTGAGGGCCTTTTAACTGCACTATTATCCATTTTAGAGTATCACCCCCATTCTGGAGGCCACCAGGGCCTTCACGTGCACACCAGGTCCCACCTTCGTGCCACCCTCCAGCTTCACGCCGCAACAAGAGTGTCGAGCTCTCCACCCAGCGTGGGGCAGCTCAGCTCCCAGGCTCACAGCATCCAACGCAACCACTGTCGTTAACCCCCTCAAAAACAAGCATTTTTCCAATTCCAGGCTGCACAGGTTTCTTTTTGGTTGTCAGTGCTTTCCAGACATCAGATGGTGCCATATGCAGGGGTAAGGCCCTTCCACCCGGCACACAACCACGCGGAGCAAAGGTGCAGGTAGTACAGCAAAGCAATGAGCGGGGCAGAAAGCACTGGGGATGCTGAATTGAACATTACTAGCAAGATTCCTGAGACAAATGAGCTAGCTGCTGCCTGGGAATTGTCAGGGACCCATGAGGTGTGTGCGTAGGTGAGGTATCAGGTCTCTTTAGCCCTGCAATCAAAAGGAGGACTCAGAGGCAAAGAGCATTTCTGCGTTTGCTCTGTGTGAAAAGCTTGGAAGATTTTACTTGACACAGTTTTTGCTGTGGAACTTCTGCATATATATCCTACAGTTGCCTTACAGAAGTCTTTGGAGACACACAGAACTAACAGACCTATGTATGTGATATATGTAAATGGGAAAATCCTTGTTCTCCAGTTGGCCTGAAATCTTCTGCACCCTGTGTTTATTCAGGTTTATTAATGGTAATAAGCTTTTGGGAGAAAGTGGGTATGAATTAATGAAACTGAAGAAAGTAGGTGAATTTCTGAAAGAGCAAGTCACAACCTACACCAAAGATGATTTCTGGTATTTCCAATTATTTCCTGTACTGCTGTCTCTTCAGGATATGCTTATTGTCCAGCCACACTCTAGTCTTGTGCACTGAAGTTTAGGCTGATTTTCATCTCTATTTAGATGAGACCACCAGCATGAAAGCTGCAGATACTTACTTCACTCTCCTGAGTGGATGGGATCTTCTTCAGCTTTCATCCCACTGTTTTTAATTTTTTTTTTATATACTAAACTGTGCACATGTGAAGTTATTTTCCATCCTAACTTGGAAGCAAATAAATCTTGGTGAAAGGTATAGTAGCATGCAGGTAGCCTGTAAGTAACTTCTGTTCCTTCAGAAAGACATCAGGAGATGTCGTCCTGTAATCACCCCAATAGAGCAAAACATTCACGTGCTGTCTGTGTTTTCTTGTCCAAGTAGACAACAAAATACCAGGCCTAGCCAAATTTCTTTCATCACAAAAACATTAAGTTGCACCATAACTGCCTGGAAATCTCAAAAGCCTCTCACCACAATTATAAAAATATCTTCATAGGCAGGATCAGTTCTTTGATTCAACATGGATTACTCATATGAGAGTTCACTGCGTGCCCACTTCATGGGCAGGCTTAAGTTTTTAATGTCTGCCCTGTTAAACTGTTTCCTACAGCTTGCCACCTTTTTCTACAGAAGGTATCGATTTCACCAGTACGCCCGCTCAGCCAATTTAGCTTTCAAAGATCCTTTCTCAAATTTCTAGTACAATGCAAAGAAAAACATACCACTTCGTAGTATTGACTCATCGAGACTGACAGACAATAGCACATCATCTATATTTTGCCATAGAGAGGCTGAAAAAAAAGAAAGCCAGGTATTTTTTACCCACCAGGAAACACATTCTTTTAAGGAGACTTCTTTTTCTTTAATCAGCCAAGGGGCAGATGAGCTTAACTTTATATTTCACACTGCTAGTAAATTTGTCAGTGTTAGGATGAGGAAAAGTACCTTAGAGAAGGTGAGAACACAGATATGTAGCCAAATTTACATGGAACATACAATCGGAATAAATTCTTCTCTAGGATTTTTCTTTTTCTTTCTTTTCCCCTTCAATGCCACATATTTTGAACAGCATCCCTGAAAAAAAAAAAAAAAAAAAAAAAAAAAAACAAAAAAAAAAAACACCTTTGGCTTGCCCTAACAGATCATCTCCTGGTAAACTTTTACTTTAAAACTCAGGAGAACAAAAGACAGTACTGCGACTGCTGAGGTGACTGTGTCTGTCTACTTTTTACAGGTAAACCAAAGTAAGATCATCTCTGGAAACCAGCAGGTTTTGCTCTCAAAGACTATAATGCCATTAGACATTTTATAAACTTATCAAACTCAATCTAAAAAGTAGCTTGTTTTTTATGCTTACCCATCTTAAATTATGAGACTTTGCCAGAACCTGATTGCAGTGTCAGTTATGACCCAGCATTTAATTTGTGTCATTTTATGTCAATTTGGTTTTGCACCAGCAATCTCTTCAAACTGAAGCATTTATTTTTTTCTTGTGCTTAATCCTCCTCTGACTTGGGCACAGAAAGACTGAATTTTCCCCTTCCACCATCATTTTATGGACTAAACACACCATCATCATCTAGTTTTGCCTTACAGAATAGGTATCTTCATATCCCCTCTCCGTCCTTACTGAACCTCTTCAGTGTCAATTAATTTTTCTCACAGATACCATATGCAAACATTGAGGCTTTATTCTTGCCTGGTCACACGTCAGCTGTGTGCTGTGACACCCTCCTCACACAATTAACAGACTCTCAGATCGTAACATAAGTTTTTGTTATCAAGTACTCATCTGCATGATCTTTCACTCCATACTACTTAATTGCAGCCCCTATTGTTAGCCCCATCCTCTAGGTCACATCGATCTTACTGTGAGATAGTCAGATCTCCCCCTGCACTGGCAAGGCTTTGTGTCGTCAGCAGCAATTAGCCTTTTTTCTGTGCCACAGTCATCAGCAAAATTCCTACACAAATATCGATCCCATACAGGGATCCGAAGCACAACAGCACCAAAGAAAGGCTTTCCTGGTGACCGACCCATTTAGAAGCTAAGGTTCCTTCTAAGAAAACCTATTCTTGGGGGATTTTGAGTCCAATAAGGAGATCAGAAAAGTCTCAGACCAAATGACTAATGCCTCATATAATGAGGCAAATTCTGCTTCTGAGCATTTTTATCCAGCGCTACATAAATTGCAAGCACAGGAACTGTGCAGCCAGCGTGCACATTACTAAACCAGAGATTATTCAGGCCCCTCCAGTCAGTCATCCAAAGAGTTTTCTAGAGTGTTGAACCCCGGTACCACGCAGGAAATGCCAGCAACT